GCGGTGTACCCTGAGAGGAGACCTTTGGGGGCCGAGGGATAGATAGAGCAGAGTCCTGCCTCAGAGGTCAAGCGGCACCAGACCACTTCTGAGGCCTTAACAGGGCTCCAGGCCTGGCCTGGCTGCTATCGTGCTGTGGGGCTTTGGCCATTCCTCTCCTCAGCCTCCTGCTCTGTACAATAGAGGTAAGAGATGAGTGAGAACAGGACAGGGAGGCAGACATGTGCTGCCAATGGGTGGCCAGGACCTGGCCTCTGAACCTTGTCCCTCCTGTTTCCTAGGCAGCCGGGCCAAGCCAGGTGCCCAGCGACCAGCCCCCGTGGGCACTGCTGGAACAGTACTGCCATACAGTCACTACCCTCGCCAACCTCTCAGGTATGCAAGCCCACTGCCAGCACCTTGTGACAGAGCCCAGGAGACGAGGGTGGGCGTCCCAGCCTGCGGGAGGAAGAGGCTTGCCTAGGCCAGCCGAGCTCGGGATGGTGGTGGCCGGACACTGGCTTCCAGGCCGGGCCCCTGGCTCTGTCTTCAGCCGGGCCCCTCCCCCATTTGTAGCTCAGGGTCTTCCTGGTGATGATGGGCTCTCCTAGTTCTTTGCATCTACACCCAAGAGAAGCTGCCTGGGCTGCATTCAGAAGCCAGAGGCGGGAATACCCCTCTGCTTTCAAACTCAGGCAAGTCCAGCACAAGGTGTAAAATACATTCTCCAGTTGCCATGGCTACAAGTGTCAACTCCTAGTAAGGACCTTTGAAGCAGCAGCCAGGCACCTGCATTTGGACCCTTGAGAGTTTTCTGGGGGTGATTCAGAGTCAGGGTCAACCACTGCAGAGCTCAGAACAGCCCTGGGATTTCATGGGCTGCAGGGAGATGTCCCCAGGGCCCCGCCCAGTGTCCTGGCCTTCTCAGGCAGACCTGAGAAGCTGGGGTGGGCTGGGAGGTGCTCCTGGGACCTGGGGCTGCTGCCAGGGCACAAGGAGACCAGGGAGCTAGGCAGCACTGAAACGCAGCACCAAATGCAGCCTGAGCTGGACATCAGAAAGGAAAGCCTTACCGCCTGCCCTCTTTACAAGGGGTAAAGAGCTCAGGTGTTGGGGTCACACAGACCCGAGTCGAGCCTAACTCTTCCACCTAGCAGCTGTGTGACACTGAACGAGTCACCTAACCCATCTGTATTACTTTGCTAGGTCTGCCATAAAATACCACAGACTGGGGGTTTAAACGACAGAAGTGTTTTCTCATGATTCTGGAGGCTAGAAGTCCAAGTTCAAGGTGTCAGCAGGGTTGGTTCCTTCCGAGGCCTTCCCTCCTTGGCTTGTACATGGCTGTCTTCTCTCTGTGTCTTCACCTGGTCTTCCCCCTGTGCTTGTCTGCATCCAAATCTCCTCTTCTTGGAAGGATAGTTATCATTTTGGATTAGGACCCATCCCAATGACATTATTGCACTTAATCACCTATCTTCAAATAAGGTCACATTCTGACGTATTGGGGGTTAGGACTTCAACATATGTATTTTGAGGGACATGATTCAACCCATAACACTTTCTGAGCCTCAGTTTCCTCATCTGTTAGAAACGAGTCTAAATCAACCTCAGAGTCTTACTGAGAAGGTTGAATGAGAGACCATGGAGACACCCAGCATGGGCCACATCAAGCGGCCATCCTGCATGAAATGGAGCCCCCCCCATATCAGGAGGACCCCAAACTTCCCCTCACAGGAGCTCTCTGCTCTCCCAGGCAATGCTGGTTTATCAGCAGACCCACCACCTTCTCCCTGCCCTCCCCTCCCTTCTCACCTTTCGGTGGCACAGACCCTGTTTTACCCATGACCTCTGGAGAATGGTAGCCCATCCCCCCTCCACTGAGTCTAGTGGGAGGGATCCCAGCTTTTGCAAGCACAAGGCCTCCCCTGCTTAACTTGTAATATAATGCATCTGTTTACAATGGATACATTTTATATATATACTGGGGGTGCCCCAAAAAATGTATACAAGTGGACACTTTGGTCAACATTGCTCAAGCAGCAGTTCGCCATAATCAGGAGTGTCTGGATGCTGATGGTAACCACTTTGAGCACCTCTTATAATTGCAGAAGTCAAAC